GGTCTGGTCAGTAGAATTTTGTCTGATTCGGGCCAGGGTCCGGCCCACACCAGCATGGGCAGCTGCCTCGTGGATCCTCATCCAAACCTCTGTATATCGAGAACTGGGGCATACAATCTGGTAATGCTCTTCATTGATTCAGGGCTCGATTCCCTTCCGGCACAGTAAGTTGCTCTTACTCACAAGCCTCTTCTGTTGTTGTGGCAACTTCTGGGCTGTGCGGGACATAGCTTGTCGCTCTGCTCTCGGGGGTCTTATTTGCCAGTCCACATACCCTTTAACAACTTGGATGTCTGGGTCATTGGCTTGAGCAAGTTCCCATTCACCATCAGCCCAATCTTCACTTCCCCCATCAGGGGTAAGCTCCACCGCTGCCGAAAAAGCAGCCTCCACATTGGTGGATTCAGCATCTGAGGTGGTCACTGGGAACCTGGACAAGGCATCGGCATTTGCGTTGCTTTTACCTGGATGATACTTGATGCTGCAGTTAAAGGAGACAAGCTGAGCAACCCAGCGCTGTTCTGTTGCCATCAGGCGGGCTGTCTGCAGATGGGCAACAGGATTATTGTCAGTATACACTGTAAACATTACACCAGTCAGATAATCCTTAAACTTATCAGTTACTGCCCACTTGAGTGCCAAAAGTTCCAACTTGAAAGAGCTGTAGTTTGCATTGTTACGCTCAGCTGGGTGTAAGCCCCGGCTGGCATAGGCTATGACACGCTCCTGCATCACCAGTGTGGATCTGGTGTTTTACTGAGTCTGTCCGACCAATGTCTTCATCATGCTTAGCAAAGGTCCGTGAACATCCACCTCGTCTATTTGGTACAGCTTTTCCAGTTTCTCGTACTGGCCAATAGACAGACTGTAAGGGTGGGCTTACAAACACGCACAGGGATTCTGCCATTTCTTACAATGGCCAGTGTCCTGGCCACACCTACTTTACTGGCTTCTGATGTTGTGTCCAACAGGGCGCAGTAATCCGCTCCTTGTAGGCCCCTCCGAGCCCGGCCCCACACAAGCATCTCACTTCTCGGTGGAACTCTTATATAGTCCCGACAGGCCAGCCGCACAAATCCAAGCAGCCCATCCTTGGCCATAGTGGCTTCGATACGCCTGCAGGCTGCAAAGGCGTCCTTCCAGGTATTCTGATGCTTTAATGGTGATGGGGAGGTGGCAGCCTCTGCAGAACACTTAAACAGGGCCTTCCAGCAAGCAGTCACAACGTCCATGCCTATAATGAGCGGGTGTGTACAGTGTTTATCCTTAACAATAATAACACCCCACCCAGGTATGCTAATGCCCTCCACTTCAAAGTCCAACACTGCATAGCCAGTACAGGGGATCTCTAATCCACTGGCTGCTCTCAAATGGAAGAATACATGAGTCTTCCCAGGTTCAACTTCAGTGAAATATTTTTCTAGAACACTCTGTTGCATTAAAGTTACTTGGGAACCCGTATCCAGTAACCCTTGAAGCTGGACTCCCTCAATGGTCAGCTCTATGGTAGGACTTTGTCCAATAAATGTATCAGTGGCCCCTTTCTCTTCTGATGGTGACTCAGCCACCCCTGCCCCCCGGACCTCAGCAGCAGCGATGGTTAGTTTAAAGGAGGTGGTGAAGCGTTTGGCTCTCTACAGAACCTGGCCATGTGGCCTGGACGTCTGCATCTGTGGCAAATGGGTCTTCCTTGTGCATCCCGGTCGTTGGCATGATGTGGAAAACCACTTCTCCCTCTCAAACTTTAAGGGTTGTGGAGCATCTGCCGTGGGTTGGAGAAGTGATTTAACCTCCCACACCAATTCCTGGGTAAGCTCTCCCATCTGCGCCTTCACATCCTCCATAATCTCCCTCTTTAGAGCCTCCTTCCAGCCAGAACCCTGTGATGATTTGGAGAAAGCACATGGGTTACTCACAGCTGAACATGTCACCTCAGTCTGCGTGTTCCCATTCTCCACATCAAGCAATAGTGCCTCCTGACAGAGAGCAGCAAAGTCCCCCTCAGGGTTACGGCGAGTATAAACCTTTAGGGCTTGAGCCAGGGGACCCTCCTGTAGCCCCAACAGCTGATCCTGTAAGGCAACATCTGAGGGAGAGTCATCGGGGTCATGTTGCCACAATCTGCAATATAACTCACACAACCTCAAAATAAAAGCAGAAACAGTCTCACTTGGATTCTGGATACAACCAAAAAACTGTGATCTTGTATGGAGACAGGAGTGCGGACAAGGAATCTAAATAGTTAAGAATTTTACGAACTTGATTTTTTTTCATCCTCTTCCAACACACTAACCTGACGTTTAGCTTCCCCAGCCAACGCCCCCAACACAATATCAACCTTCCTTAGTTCTGTCAACTCCTGTGTCCCTAGTAACCCAGTTATCTGTTCCTTCCAGTCACAGTATTTTAAGTCATCCCAATGTCCTTTAAATTTGGGAAGCCAGGGGCGCCCTGGGTAAACAGGCATCATTGTTAATTTATTTGGCTCCAACAGCCGCTCTCAAGTCTGGATCCCGCCAACAACCCCAAATGTGGCTCCTTTCAACTGGGTAAGCTACAGTATATGACAAAAAAATATAAAATCCCACCTAAGTTTTATATCAGGTGAAGTTGAAAGCGTCTGCTAAAAACCAAAAAAATCAGCCGTTTAACCGCCGCACCAGGGTTTATTCAAAGAATAACTAAAATCATCACTAAAAGCTTTAATCCAGTCAAAATAAAACTGTTGCTGGAGCCAGGGCCAGAGAGTCTGCAGCCTTATCTGGGCACTGTGGGGCAGGCTTCCCTTCCGCAGAGCCGTCCTCCATGATCCTGGTCACACAGCCTCCTTCAGGTTTCTTGTCCGCCGCGCAAAGCAGTCATTCTCCTCAATCGCTCGCCTCATGCAGGTCAATCGCTCCCTCGGCCTCACCACTGTGCCACGCCGTCCTCCTCCTCGGTTGCGGGCCCCGCCTGTCAGTGAGTTTAGAAGGCAGTCACTGCACAATTAAGCCGGGCGTACACTGTGCGACTTTTTCACTCGCAGCGTTCAGCTTCAGCTCAAACTGTACGACTTCCTCGCAGAGCAGATCTCACGAGTCGTGTGCTCACACTGCACGACCCAGTTCTCGCATGCGACCTGACTGCTCACACTGTACGTCTGGTAGCAACACGTCGGCCCTAAAAATGTGCTAAAAATAGCAGTTTTTACTCAACACGTCAGACTTTTTGTCTTGCCTGTTGTCCTTCGGGAGTGCTGCAGGAGGACACACAGGGATTTATGGGGGTTGGATGAGGAAAACGAAATAAAGAAAGTGAATCTGTGTTTTGTGATCAGTTTAATTTGACATGAACACGACAAACACGCTTTCTTGACAATCTTTGTGAGTAAAAAAAAACGTGTAGAAACAAAAACGAACAGCGTGTGTTATTAGGGAAATAGCGAGCGACCGGCGTTGATGCAGGATTGCGCGCGCATGCGCCGTGAGCGGTTCTGATACTTTTTTGGATCGTAGCTGCTCGCAGCTGCTCGCAGCGCCGCTTCAACAGTGCGATACCCTCACGAGGGACGAGCGAAATATTAAACACACCAGAAGTCCCTGCGACCTCACGACTGCTGATCGGCGGCTGGTCACGAGGTGTTAATCGCCTCTCGTAACCCCCTGTACACTACACGACTGCTCGGCGCAAAACTCGCCCCGATGTCGTGGCTTCTCGCACGACTGGAAAATCGGCTCAAAAAAGTGAAAAAGTCGCACAGTGTACGCCCGGCTTTACACACCCGCATGTCACACTTAATTCCAGACCGCTACTCACACGACAGGTCAGAGGGATACTCTGCCCGCGTCTTCATGGAGCCTCATCACAGACAATCGGCGTCCTTCCACCCGACGAATCTGCACTCTCGTCGCGACTGTCAGCCTTCACCTTTTCCTACCTCTTCTGTCGTCTCCACACGCACCTGCTAATCTTCCACCGGTGCAGATAATTGCCCAGGTGGGATGTCATCTGTCGGCTTGTCAAAATAAAAGCACACATCCTCCCAGCTTCCCGGGTTTTTCAGAATAAAAGCACACATGCAGTAAAAGTAAATAAAAAGATTACACTATACCACACTGGGAGGGAAAAACACAATAAAACCCATCTTTGCCCGTAGGACAATTACTCTGCACCGTTGCTGAAAGCCCAGCGGGGTAAATGTTGTTTCTAAAGTAAGCGTTGTTTAGATTAATATTTTTCTCCTGCTTGCTTCTCAGAACAGTTCCTGGCTAGAGTGAAGAGACATTTTAATTAGAATTCAAAGAGGGAACTCCATTGTTTCCACAAGAAGCTCGGCTTAGGTGTTAAATCTGTTGGAGCCAAAGTTTCATTTGCATAATCATTTGTAAATGTATTCAATTAGGTTATCAGCACACAGTGCTACTTATTGGAGACCATGACTGTACAATGAGCTGTTTTATTGGCTTGATTTTTTATTTATGTTTTGCTAAGTGCATTTTGTTAAATGATAAAACACTTTTCGACCAGATTACTCATCTACATCAGGTTCTCCACTAACCTGAGAGTTTTTAGGAACTGTGACGTTATTATGAAGCAAAAAGGCGATTGATGTAAATGATTAACCTGCCGTGGAAATGTCCTGGCTGGTCAAAGTCAGGTCACAAAGCAGCCGTGGGGAGGGGACAGACGAGCTTGTTTTTGCCCAATACTTTATCTTCACCTTCGTCCACTTTTCAGCAACAGCTGAGCATTATGGGAGACTGTCACTGGCAAACAGCTAAGTCAGAAATACAGCTGACTAATGCTTGTGTACCCCAACCCCCCCCCCCCCCCCCCCCCCCCGTGTGTGTTTGTTTTTACACGTGACAAAGGCTGCAGTCATCTATGTTCCTAACATAATAAACTTTATGAATAACAGCAGATGTTTCCTCAAACATAAATAAACACTTTATGTGCCAGGGTCAATACCCCCCCCCCCCCCCCCCCACACACACACACACACAAAGCAACTTAACCCTCTGATGCATGAATTACGAACAGTGCCACTTTCACATTCAATATTCCTCAGTCATGTGCAGTGAGGCTTTTCATTATTTTTTATGTTATTGGACTTTTTATTTTATTGATCTTTTTTAAATCTGTTTTATGAAAACATGAATAAAATGATCAAAAACAGGTGGAAGTGAGTGCATCCTTGGGGAATATTTGAAAAAAAAAAAACGTATGTCTCACTCTCAGGTGCTCTTCAGCATCAAATAAATCGTAGAATATGAGGAAGAAGAACCGGTGATCTGAGGCACTCTGAGGATTTCATGTATTAACAAGGAAACGCCGACGCGTTTCGGTACGACCTTTCTTCAGGGCATAAACCTTTATGCCCTGAAGATGACTCACTATGTCACAAAAACTAACGTCCATCTTTTTTTTTTTACAAATTTACAGCCTAATTGACAATAACATCTTAAGGAGACAATTTCAGATGTGTATGTTCAGATGATTTAATATTCTCAATGCTAAATCAATGCTGCACTGATTGTGCCAAAAACAAGTGTCTGGTGTGGATTTAAATAAATTAAATTTGCATATCGATATATGTGATAAGCCGTTTAATTTGAAAAAGTCAGTTTCTACTGCTGATTACAAATAGCCTAACAAGTAACTTACTCACCTATAGATGCTGAGATTGTAGCTCAGTAAATGTTTTGCTGCTGCTGCTTGATGCCTGGATAGAAAACGCTGCAGCGTAAACAAGAAAGAGACGGCATAAGAAGTCATGCTGTGTTTAGGCAGTTCTCACTCCCCGCCGGGCCCGGCGGCAGTGGGGAAGTCACCGCCACGGCCGCGGCGGTGCCGCCCGCCCGATGTGAAGGACAAAGTTGAAATTTTGCTACACCCACACCTAATGTTCTTCTGATATGAAAATATTAAATTCATATTGTATGCATACTTAAAACTTGAATCGAAGTTCATAAAAAGGCTGCAATCATACTCCAAAAACTAGTAAAAATTCTTACATTCATCATCATCACAGTGAGGCTCAACAGGTGCAGAAGACAGTCCCGCCCCCGTGGTGTCCACAGGTGCCTGTGTGGCTGCAGATGTCTCACTGCATCTGGACACGACGATTCAAAAGTAAAATTAATTGGTTAAAGTTATGAGATACTGTATTGTGTATGTAAACAGCTAGCGAGGGTCCGTCCGTGGACCGTGCTTGGCAGGAGAGGCAGCTAGCTAAAATTGTAACGCAAAAAGTTCCTTTGCCAAATTTATAAAGTCTACATATCTCTGCTTTGGGCCCGTTTTTTTCTTCCTCCTTCCTTCGCTTTCGGAATGCTGATCCCGATGGCTCAGGTGTTCTTTTCATCGTAAAATACCAAAAGTTTAAACGCGACGACAACAGGAAGTCCTTCTGCAGCGCTAACCACGCACGTGATCTACGGCACCCTTAACGGTCAAATGCATCGGAGCGGTGGCCCAAGCGGGAGCTCGTCATGCAGTCAGATCATTAGAATTTAAATATTGATGTTTTAATTTAATGTCATTTCAGAGGGGAATTTTGAGTATGTAGAGAGTGCATTTCATATAACAAACATAAATTTAATAAACTCTTTTTTTTTTTTGCACCCTATCCATCAGATGGTGCCCCAGGCGGCCGCCTGTGTCGCCTGTCGGCAAAGCCGGCCCTGGTTCCTTGAAAAACTCTGATTATTGCTCTTTTCAGTGAATCCTTGTTAACATTGATTTTCACGGTCCTCCTGTAGGGATGATTGACTCAGTGAATGTAAGAAGAAACTGTCTCGCTGCTAAACACCCTGCTGCCTTGAAGCACAGGTGGGCCAGGAGCTGACAAGGTAGGAATAGCTCATGCTTTAAAGAGCATACTGAGCGTGATGCAGTGCAGCACAAGCATTTAAACCGGAGGTCTGGAAGGCTGTTTAACATGATTAGCTGAGGAGGGAGGATGTCTGGAAGGGCGCTGATAACAGGATCTTGGTGTCAACAGATACTGAGGTGTTCAAAACTACCGGAAAAGCTCCTAAATAATTATGAGTCATTTTCTCAGTGAATTATGATCTGGATTAAGAGCAACACATCAGGATTACCTTTAATTCATCTTTGAGAATAAAACAAATGATAAAATAAGAATCTTAACTTAATTTGTCTTAAATATTTTTACCAATCGCTGTGGCAGCCTTGTAGCGTAAGAGTAAGCCTCACTTTTATTTTACCTCCAACTTTTCCCCCTGATGTCTTCTACAACAAATGAGTGACATAACACAAAATAGGTGTTTGCTTCCTGTCTTCATCCAAAATCAAGGAACACCTTGTTCCAAGTGGACCCAGCGGGACATGATGACAAAAAAAATAGTGTTTTTTTTATTACTGGCTCCTGATTGGCTGCTGCATGAGGGAGGAGGAAGACGAGTGTTGTTTGTTTGACAGGTTTGAGTGTGGGTGAAGACGAAACACACATGCCTCCCCCGTACCTATAAGCTCCTTTTCTTGCAGCCTATATTTTCTTTCTCGTTGCACAAATTGCACGCTCCACGTGTGCACGCGTTGGGGCTGCTGCAAGTTAAAATTGGGTCTTTCAGAGAGATGTGACAATGAACACAAAAAAAGAGATAGCAGTCTTTAACCCTTATCTTTCCACCGAAACGTTTTCTTGCTCAGTGTGCGGCTTCATATTTACTCGTCTTACATGTCGGTCTACTCGGTCTAAACGCCTACAATCTCATGCTTTTCTTATCTCCTAAAAATGGACCAGACTGTCATTAGCTTGGAGCATGTCTCTCCTGCAATCAGCGCTCCCTCTCAGATGTCACAGTTTCTTTCAACCTGAGAAAACACTTGAAAGACGAATGCTTTAATGATGCTGATGAAAAAAAACAACAAGTGACTGAGGCAGGATCACAAACCCGCAGTTAAGTGTGCACCAACTTCTATTAATAGAGCATTACTTATTCACAGGAGAGCTGGTTCTTCTGGTAAAAGTAGATGATTAAAGATTAACATGAAACCGTTCCAAGACAATGACCTCCCTGGAAATCCATACATTTAAAGCAACTCCACAACACAGCAGAACTCCTTCAGGCTTGTTTTATTTGTGGGGATGTCCCGATCAGGTTTATTTTATTTTTGTCTTGATAAAAGAATAATGAAAGCAAAGAAACAGATCCACAATGTTTCTTTTTTTTAACACAAACAGATTGCTTCTGTAAGATAGCTTGTACAATCAGGCAATAAATAACATAAATCCTTCACTTTTGGACTTTAGTGTAAATATAAAAAAGTCTAATATAAAAAATAAAACAAACAGCACCTCAACTTAAAATACCTGGCAGGGGTCTATTTTGCCTTGGCCCCCAAAATACCTTGATACGGCCCTGTTTTGAAGGTGATCTGAATTGTATAAAATATATAAATATATATGCTGTTAAATCATTGCTTCATACAGGTAAAAATGCATAGTAGGATAAATCTAACTACATTTTATGTTTCAAGAACTTTGTTTTCTTGGTTTTTATTTTTCTATTTTCCTGTTGGCTGTGTGTCTTCCTGCATTTCCTCTCAGTCCTCCAGGAAAACTGTTGCCTGGCTTCCTACTGTTTCACCTCACAAGTTACTTTTTAACTAAGCAGATCAAATGGATCTACTGACCGCAAAAAAAAAAGCGTAGTGTGTGCTGCGCTGCCTGGCCGCGCCAGTAACGTGGAGTCACCGGACCACGGGTGATGAGTGCTGCAGCTGAAAGCGTGTCAGGCTCTAGTAAAAGACAGGAATTACCAGAGAGAATATGTACAGACATGAACGACCGTATGTTAATTGTATATTTATTGAAGCATATTTCATTTATTATTTTAAGCAGATTTTTAAAAATATTTAAGTTTTATTCATTATTTTCTGCTAAATATTTTGTCTCTCTAAAGATCTTTGAATTTGGTCATTTCCAAGCAGCATTTTAATTGCTTTACTTTGCTCACATCACATGGACTCACACTGTCTAAAAAAAACCTGTCTTTATATTTTAAACTGTTTACCAATAAAGGGCTGAAAACATAACACTGGCAAGTGTAGCGTACCAAATGGCCAAGTATTTCATCAAAAACTAGCAACATCCATCACGCTACACAAGTGTAGCTAACAAAGAAAAAACTGTATTGCTGAGACCAGGGGTCAGACAGCATGCCAGGTAGTTACTCTAACCACTAGACTAACAAGTCTGTTATAAAGCAATAGTCGCCTAACAAACATATCCTGTGCTGGCCCTTACGTGCATCTTTGTGGACTGGATGCACGGTTTATGGTGGTGTTAAGTCCCCATTACAGAAGTAACTTGTCACAATACCCACTTTGGTACCGGTGGAGGTTTAAAGCAGTCATCTGTGACATGAATGACTTTCTCAACTGCAGCATTAAATCAGCTGCTCTATGGCTGCAGGAGAAAGTGGGCGTTAGTGACCTACTTCCAAGGGAGGCAGGTTCTAGAGCCAGGAGGAGGAGGAGAAATGCCTGATGACACAATACAATCCTTGTATTTGCAGGTTTCAGCTCAGAATCTGAAAAATTGCCCCTGAGACAGGAAATGCAAAAATACAGCCAAAAATGGGTTTGGGGGTATTTTTCATGAGGAAAAAACAATTTCACATGGTAAAAGCTCCAAAAAGGGAATTTTTCATGATATGGATTGGCTCCTTTAAATTCTTGACTACTTAGATGCGCATCATCACAGCTTCATGGCCTCTCCTTGTTCTGCTCTAATTCTGGTAATAGTGTTGAAAAAAGATCTGAGGGTATGTAGGATGACCAAAAAGAGTGCTTTTTCCAGTTTTATCTGCAAGTTAAATGATTGAATCGTGCGAGTATTATGTTGCCATAGCGCTGCTCTCTGTTTCATGTGAGCTGCTTCATCTCGCTGCCAACATCCAACAAATCCTCAGAGGTATTTTCTCCAACACTAAACCAGCACCTCGTTGCAAAGCCGGGAACTTGTTTTATTAGCACCTGGAAGAGTGCTGCTGATGCTGTTAGAAAGGCAGAAGATTACCAACAAAATAGCCTGCATGTCCCTCAGCAGGCTCATTTAAACATCTGTGTGTTGGTCGTTCCATATCTGTGTGTATATTTGATCTCCAGATTTTATACTTTCATTCTAATAAAATATTACGAGCTGAAGGTTTTGTGCAGAAATCTCCAATTAAATGATGAACAATGATAAACAAATTACAGAGAATTAAATTGTAGACAGTTAAGTTAAAAAAAATATCTACAAGCCTCTTAGGATCAATCTTAAAATAAATCCGGAGGTTTTGTAGATCAAGAAAAATGTTCTCCTCATCATATTTACACATAAAATACTTTAGAATATAATCACAACTGTTTCACAGCTTTCATTTTACATGTTTGCAAACAATAATTAATTCTAATGAGTTACAAAAAATGCTATTTTGCTTGTGATATCATTGTTAAACAAGAAAAGCAAACACTGTAAACAGTCCATGCCACTGGTATGGAGTTTGGCCTGTTTTAATATTCATTACTTAGTCGGTTTCAAGCTGAATTGTTTTGCTCTCATTGGCTCCAACACTGAAAACAATATGAAGATGTCAAAAATAAACAACTTCACCAGAAATCTATTTTAAACTGTGCTGCATGATCAGCAAGTATTTTGTGTGCAAATTGTTAAACAAATTGCACACATTAATGACACAAAATTATTTGCCTTAACTGGTCAGAACATTATCAAACCTAATTATTCTGGGATGCCTGCACGATTCTCATTTAATGATCTCAGCCAAAACAAGCAATAGAGCCGCTCCAAGGCATATGTGAATTATGCAACTGCTTTGGACCCCCCACACCACTGTTCTAGGGTACCTACTAGCACAGCGATGGCAGATTTCAATTCAAATGCAGTGGAGTTTTTATCTGACAACGGCACAACACTGACAGTTTTAGGCAGAAAATTAAAATTTGAACTAAAATGCACTAAAGAGCTAAAATATTGTCTACACATGTCTGCAGCACGATTAGACACACATTTATATAGTTTATCAGAAAAAAAAGTTGATTTGGGGGTGACTTGCTCTTTAACCTTTGTTTATCCAGATGAGTCGATTAATTGTTTTAGCTAGTTCCTCGCTCCTTTTTGCAATTGTTGTGTTTGTAATAAAAAAAAATTACCTGTACTTACATTGCATAATGTTTGTATTTTTCTTTGATAAATACTTTTGTTTTTTCCCTGTTTTTGAAGAAATGTTGACAAACCTGTTGGTAAGTGCTAAGTCATGTATTACGGTAATCGCGCATGGTTCCGCTGAGCGCCGGTTATTACGGTAGTGTATTGTTTGCTGCTCCGGGGTCCGTGAAAGCACGGAGCGCTGCTCTGAGCTTCCCCACTTATTGTGCCGCTCTCTCCGCCTAACCTCAGCTAACGCTCCCTTCAGACGCGAACGCTGGATACACCTCCGCTTCCCGCTGTAAGTTACACCTCAATCCTCTCCTCTTTTCACTCTTCCCACCACTTCTCCTCACATTTGGAGCGCACTTTTAATTTATGATGCCGCACGCTTTGTTTCGTGTCCAGTCCGTTTCTAGGGTCAGTTAATTACTACCGACCTGCTGGAAATAAACTAATCTTGCGCTGATTGGAAAGCTTTTCATCGAGGTTTTGTTTTCGATTGATGTTGAAGTTGTTTGGTGGAGCTTTATTTATCTGGTGATTTAAAATGCCACGGAGGAGCGTTCATTGTGAGAAGTTGAGCGCGCGCTGGGTATCTGAGCCAAAGCGCTGCCTTTGCGTTTCTCTGAAACATTTCCCTAAACGTTTCTCTTCATAACACAATAAATCCCGCGTTGACTTTCTATTTTTAGCCTGGTTTTTCTCACTTCTCACTATAATGGCCGAACCGCGCCGCCACACTCCACCCAATAATAGGAAGTTATTATATTTTCAGCTAAATAAACATGTTGATTATAATCTCATGTTCTGTTGATGTTCCACATCGTTTGCTGCGGGTTCCGCACATTTTCTGTTGTTTCTAAACCTTTGTCACTTTCTAAATGGCAATGGGAGTAAATTATTTAGTGCGTCAGGCCAACTGATTCAACCGAGAGCTGCAGTATTTGATGATATTTCTAGATTTTTTAATTTTTATTTTTTTACCACACTTGACGTTAAACAGCAGATAAATGAGAGTTTAATGACATGACCTAATGTATGTTTTTCCTCCTGCAGCTCCTGACATTAGTGTAAAATTGCCCTGATCTATAGCTGTTAATTATAGGAGGACATACATCCATCTCTCTGGTGGAACCTACAGTGTTTGCTGTGTCAAGACATGTCCATGAGTTAAGTTCAGCAGCTCTGCAGCCCACACTCGTACCGTTTTCAGTGCAGATAGATTGTGGAAAAATACTCTTAATGTCATTTGCGTGGAGATTGCTCATCTGATGGTTGGCCTTTAAACTTGTGCTGTTTCTCATTTGTGACTGCTGCATTTCTTGAATGTTTTTTAATTAGCAGGAAATGAATGGCTGTTGCTCTTATTTCCACTCAAAGTGACTCCAATGTTTAGCACGCTTGTGAATAGACATGAGCACGTTGGTGACTGTAAACCCAGCTCAACCTCAACCTCAGATGCAAGTCTCTATTATGATGAAAATGATAAATGACCCGCACTGGTATAGCGCCTCTCAGAGTAAGGACTCCAAAGCGCTTTACACTACAGTGTATCATTCATCCATTCACACACACATTCACACACTGATGGTGATGAGCTAAGATGTAGCCACAGCTGCCCTGGGGCACACTGACAGAGGCCACCGGTCCCTCCGACCACCACCAGCAGGCAAAGTGGGTTAAGTGTCATGCCCAAGGACACAACAGCAGAATTCTCTGTCCGGAGCCGGGATCGAACCTGCAACCTTCCGATTACTGGACAACCCACTCAACCTGTTGCTCCAAAAACACCAAATCATTCTATCCTTGTCATTCAGACTAATTCTGTTAAAAGTGTAAAATGGTACGTTTTTTTAAATGTTCTTATTTGGGTATGAAATGAAGCCTTATTCCCATGGCAGCAGTAGCACTCTTCCTTGCTCAGGCACATCATTCAGGCTGTGTGGGTGGGCAGAGGTTTCTAATTGGCAGAAGAAATAGCAGCGATATAACGGGACTTCCATCTCTGAAGTCATTATGTCCGCGATGACAAAGTTTTCAGTTTTGTGAAAACGGCGTTGATGCAGGGCAAACTGGAACGGGTGTTAGTTTATCTCATTGTGGCTGTGCTGAGGTAGCCATTGGCCCTTTCTCTGTGCTTTTAACCAAAACCATGAGATGTTTTTACAGTTTACATATTAACACGGGATTTTCCAAGTGGAAGCAGTGAAAAGGTTGGTTAAAATGTCAGCTGGAGGTTTGGTTTTGAGTTTTTGTATTTGTATTCCCTCTCCAGTGAATACTTCACAAAGGATCTAATTGTCACCTTTGCTAACCTTTGAAAGACCCTTTCAACTTAAACTTAAAGTTCCTCACTATTGGCTCTAATGCAGAGCTACACATACAACTCTGGTAAAGTACAATCCCAAGAATGGAAATCCATTATCAGGGTTTTTCCTGGCTCAAATTGAGGCAGAGGTGGTACCATCCTGACCATGTGCCAGCATATGCATACTCTGTGCATTCAACTGCCTCAATTTTTTAAAGGCAAAATATTTTTTCGTCAAGTGTTCTAATCTAAGCTTCTGTTGATTAATTGAATATTCCATTTGACAACGTTTCAAGTGAAACAAAACTGGTTTGCTGCTACAAAATATGAAATAAAACAACAAAGTTATCAGGCTGAAATAACAGACATTATAAAAGGCTCAATAATATGCATTAGATTGGTGTTTAGTTCCCTTTTTCCCATCTGATATTTATAGTTAAAACATTTTTTTAACATATGACCTACATTTCAGTAACATTTTAGGTTTGTATTAACACTCATCTTGGTCAAAATAACACATAAATGTATCCAGTAAAATATAATGCATTTCATTAACATGCTTTTGTATTGGAAATGGTAATAACATTTAATTTCTGCTGCTAACAATGTGACGGTGGCATGTCTATTATGTACGGGCTGGCAATAATCCAGTTTAAATTATGTTCAACGATAGAAGCGTTTGTGAATCATATACTACAACAGCTTGCCGTACTTCCTGCTCCTGTGTGTGGAGCAGACTTGTAGCAGTGATGTGACTCGTATCTGCAGCGGTTCTGATCCGTAGCACTGCAGGATGCAGAATAAACAGGATGGTGGGGACTTTTCATCCACTTGCAGTCTTTCTTACTTTTACAATCATCATATATTTTTCTGTGTGCCACTTGATCGTGAGACTGCCACCCGTTAGCTTTAGCATTAGCCAATCTGTGTGTAGCTGCACTTTTGATCCCAAACTTTGGGCCGGTTCTGCCTTTGTGCCTTTGCTGGTTCCTTTATTTTCCTCCACTGCATCCAGATGACCACACTGTGCGCCAGTACAAAGCATTTTCTTACACGTAACTTACATTTGTTCAATAAAAATAGTAATTCAAAGATGTTGCACCAGTGCTACGTTTAAAAATAGACAGAAACTCACAGTTTATTTCGTTGCACTGTACAGCCCTGCTCTGATATGGAAGAGCCTGGGGGAAAATCAGGACGTCAGTAGCACCAACCATATGTACCAACTAGCGAGAAAAGCAAATTTTGATCTTTTTCTGCAGCGGTTTTAGTGCTTTTCGGTGCACCGCTGCTGATACAGCGCCCATGTAGTGGCGCAACGCTGCAACTGCAGTTTAAATAACATCCATATAGCTGGGGGCAGTGAAATCAGGCTGGGGCGGCACAAAATTAGCTGGAGGCGGCCGCTGTGTCCACTGATCCACATTGGGCTGAGGATTCTGAGGATTGGTGCTATGTGGCTGAAATAGTCCCAGGAGAGTTACAGTACTCCCATATAGACGATTATGTGTCCGTATAGCTTTGTCCAAAGGCACCGAGGCAGGATGTGGGACTGAATATAGCCATTGGGAGTCTCAGAGGTCCTTACACTGTTTATGTGTGATGAGCAGAGCGGCTAAAACAGATGGTAACCCATCTTCTATTTTAACGCCTTGTTGCTTTTACACAGTCGTCCAGCAGCGCGGCACACTCAAGTGTTAGAAATGTTCTGGATGTTTTTAAGATAAACACCTGTTCAGTTTCAGGGCATTGAACGTGTGAGAGTTTTCCTGCTGAATGAAATGGAAGACATAACATTCATCCTTACGTGTTGCTTTAATTCCCTGTTTGGCTTTTTATTAAGTTTTTTTTGTTATGTAGAATTATGTTCTACTGAAAGGTGGTGTGCCAAATTTAGTTTGATCTATAGTGACTTTTCTTTGCAGCCAGCTGTGCACCAGTGATATTATGTCAGTGGGGGCCGGCTTTCTTCTCTGAATTTTTTTCTTTCAATTTTCCATTCTCAGCTGTGACAAAAAGCTAGCTATAGGCTCTAATGATGGCCCCCAGCAGATGTGGTTCTGTTTATGTCTGCAAGAACGGATTAGAGAAGCTAAGACCATATGTTGCATTTCAGATTTGGCTGTTTCATTGATTACATCTGGGTAAGACAGGAAATCTATTTCATTATTAGAAGTTGGCAACAGACATGGACCAATTACTGGGCGCGTTTGGTAGATAATTTATCTTTGTTGGTGCAGCTGTCTGTTAAATTAAGCAAAATCTCATTTTATATTCATTATTTCTGATAAGCAGTTCTCATCTTATTGTAATGTTCAGAAAATTGTGATTTCCTTTGTTTGGAACAGTCACAACCCTTCTGCAATTTTCTCAAGTCATTACAAATGATATGTTCTTGTTCTTTGTTTAATTCAGTCAACAGAAATGTTCCTAAAAGGTTTCAAAAGAATGAGTACGAGTAGCGATCAAGCAGAGCTGGTCTGCTGCATCTGTTTGAGTCTGTTTTCATGTTTATGGAGGAATATCGTCATTGTTTTGGCTGCTTGTGTCTGTCTGTGCCAGCTGGAGGTTAGGCTAAACTGTCTCCTGTAAAAAAAATCTGTGGTTTTCCCTATCTGTCACCCAAATTGACTGTTTTTGGTAAAGGAATTACAATTTTAGTTTGTGAAATTGCTTTATTGCAGCAGGGATTACTGTAGCAGTATTAGGTCATTTGCTGAAGCAAAAATGATTTTGCTTTGCATATCGGTCTAGGCATGCCCTGTTGGAACCTCCGCAAGCTTGGCCAGTATTGTGGCTGACCAATCACAGCGTGTTAATTGAGAAAAATGATGTATTGTGTTATGTTTTTGGATGTTTTATGGAGGGCTGCACGATATTAGGAAAACCTGCAATATTCGATAACAGTGCTTAATATTGATAATACTCGCGATAAATGAACAAATACTAAAGTATGCAGTGTTGATGTCATCTGGCGTGTGATGTCTGCT